TTGTTGTTAGGGAAGGACGTAATCAATGCGCGTGAGGGGCAACGGAGCCGCGCAGACGTTTGCTTCACGGACTTTACTTTTTTTAAATATTAAAGTAATATAGTAAAATAACAGGAGATATAAAACACCTGCTGTTGTTCACTAACAGGAACATTTTGAAATAACCGAAAAAACACACACACATATATATTTATATAAATATATACAATTTCAGAATCAACAAGTATGAGAGCACTCTCATAATAACGTACCACAATCAGAGACTGGATATACCCCCCCCCCCCCCCTCTCTGGTCGCTACAATGAGGAAATGAAATTACGGGCCAAAAGTTCAAGTTAAGTATTAAAAGTAAGCAGAGGACACCCGTCTGTCCATGACATGACATTTGTTAGTCGCTTTTATCCAAAGCGACTAACAAACACTCAGTAGCCTACCTACTGAGGACAATCCCCACAGGAGCACTTTGGGGTGAAGCGTCTCACAACGACATGCTGACTGGGTTTGAACCTGCCATCCTCTAATTCGAAGTCCAGCACTCTACCCACTTAGCCACAGCCTCCCTATGTCTGCCCCATCTACACACACACGCACACACACGCGCGCACACACACACACACATGCACACGCACACACATACACACACGCATGCGCACACACACACACACACACACACACACACGCATATCACATGCAGTGCATATTTTGCATATTTGCAAGCTCCAATCAAGAGACTCTTCTAAAACATTGTGGCCTTCGTCACGGAGACGGTGAACTGGCCCTGTATTCACACTATGCCCTGCCACTCCACTACAGGCCCCTCCAACACGCCCCACTTTTTTAAATGAAGGTGAATCCCATTGAGATCATTGATCTCTTTTTCAAGGGTTGCCCTGCTGCAAGTAGGTTCCACATGAAACATAAACATAACATATAAACAAAAAGGACATCTTACAGCATGTTTACAGCGACTACAGTTTATAGCTAGTAACATTTACAGGTTCCAACAGCTTCCGGATGGATAGCATCTATCCTTGCTTTAAAAACATTTAGTGGCACCAGATTGCTCAGCTTCCATTCCTTTTGCAGACTATTCCAAGACAGAGGAGCTGCGCATCTAAAAGCTGTCGTCCCTAAGACAGTCCTAGCAGTTGGCACATTTAATAAAACACAGCATGCGATCTCAGGCAGTAGCCACTTACAATTCACCCTGAGATCAGGGAGCAGATATAAGATGGAAGTTTCCCTAACATGGCTTTGTATATAAAAAGTGATTGAGCCTCCGTACGGTTAGCGAAGGCAAACCAGCGCTTGCATTCAGGGTACTTTCCAATCAGTCCCCAAAATTGTAAAACCAGTTTTTTTATTGAATTCAAAACATCCACACGATCCCTTCAGACGGTGCAGACTGTGAGCAGCACAGCTGCCCTGGAATTTGCTGCACAGAAAAAACATGACATTGTGGTTACAATCACATGACATTGTTTTGTTATTGTGTTTTTCAGATATCTGAAGATGTTCATGGGTCACCAGCAAAGACCTCCCGGGGACCTTCGGTGCAGCCTTTGACCTTCGGTGCAGCCTTTGACCTTCGGTGCAGCCTTTGACCTTCGGTGCAGCCTTTGACCTTCGGTGCAGCCTTTGACCTTCGGTGCAGCCTTTGACCTTCGGTGCAGCCTTTGACCTTCGGTGCAGCCTTTGACCTTCGGTGCAGCCTTTGACCTTCGGTGCAGCCTTTGACCTTCGGTGCAGCCTTTGACAAACATGTGCCTGCTGAAACTGTACCGGCTAGCTATGGGATTAGTTTGGTTTCATAAATATAAAGCAACACTTTCTCAGAATAAAGCAAAACTATGAGTTTAAAAGAAAAAAAAACTGAGTCAAGCAAAATAAAATAAATGTCAAAAATAAAACTATAAGTTGCAAAGAAATCATTTGTGTAATCTGTTTTCTTTGTTTGAACAGGTTTTTGTTTGCAGTTCTTGTTTCTTCTTCCTCAATGATCAGACCTTTGCTCTCGCTGCAGCTCTTCTCATTTGCGCTCCTTCACTTTTTGTTTGAGATTCTGACACAAACGTCCCAGGTGGGCGGGACTTTCAGGGGTGCGTCCCCATTGGACATTGAAATGTGTGGAATTGTGAGTTGCCAGTTGACAAGAGGCACTGGATAGTAATTGTTATTTGATTGTGATGTGCTGAAGAGGCAGAGGCCTGATTCATCACAATGATGTCAGGTGTGCGAGTCCTGTTTTGACCTGATGGATAAAAGCAGAAGCAGAAACGATCCTCAGAATCTGTGTTCAAAGGCCATCATCCTTTTCTGTTTAAAGCAGCTTTGCTAGATGTTTATTATGTCAAGAAATGTCCTTAACGTGTGTTATGTTGCAAAACGTGCATTTTTTTCAAATCCATATCTTCAGCATGTGAAGAATGCATGTTATCCCGTTGCGTCACTAGGCCCGTTACGTCACTAGGCCCGTTACGTCACTATGCCCGTTACGTCACTATGCCCGTTACGTCACTATGCCCGTTACATCACTAGGCCCGTTACGTCACTATGCCCGTTACGTCACTATGCCCGTTGCGTCACTAGGCCCGTTACGTCACTAGGCCCGTTACGTCACTATGCCCGTTACATCACTAGGCCCGTTACGTCACTATGCCCGTTACGTCACTATGCCCGTTACGTCACTATGCCCGTTACGTCACTAGGCCGTTACGTCAATAGGCCCGTTACGTCAATAGGCCCGTTGCGTCACTAGGCCCGTTACGTCACTAGGCCCGTTACGTCACTAGGCCCGTTACGTCACTATGCCGTTACGTCACTAGGCCCGTTACGTCACTATGCCGTTACGTCACTAGGCCCGTTACGTCACTATGCCCGTTACGTCACTATGCCCGTTACGTCACTATGCCGTAACGTCACTAGGCCCGTTACGTCACTATGCCGTAACGTCACTAAGCCTGTTACGTCACTATGCCGGTTACGTCACTAGACTCCTCGACTCCTCGGTCCTCCGGTAGTGACCCGGAAATGGATTTCTGCGTGCCATGTTGAAGGACATCTCATTTCTCTAAATGCACTTCGAGGACCGAGGATCGAGCGTCGAGGAGGCTCTCTGGAGGAGCTATAACCGAGGAGAGAGGAGAGAGGAGAGAGGAGGCTCTCTGGAGGAGCTCTAACCGAGGAGAGAGGAGAGAGGAGAGAGGAGAGAGGAGAGAGGAGAGAGGAGAGAGAGAGAGAGAGAGAGAGAGGAGAGAGGAGAGAGGAGAGAGGAGAGAGGAGGCTCTCTGGAGGAGCTCTAACCGAGGAGACACTGATGGCTCCTCCTCGGCTCCTTCGTGGATGCATTTCCGGGAACAGAGATGTTTCAAAGAGTCGTGACGCACGGCCGGACTGATCTCAGCCAATCACAGCTCTGCATGCATCCCCTGGATATTATTGTAGTAACTGCTTTCATCGTGACGCGATGTTTCCAGAGAGAACAGCTGAGAGGTCCGTGCAGAAAGCAGAGCAGTGTGTATAATATATATCACTCAGTAGAACAGGCCGACTCTCTTTGCTTTAGTTTAGTAGATATCTACAAACAAAGAGTCCAGATGTTTCTAAGAGCATTTAGTGCTTCACAAAATAAAATACACAACGGCTGCAGCCTGAGGATGCTTTAGGAGCTGCAGGTGTGTGTGGTACAGTGTGTAGGTGCGTGTGTGTGGTGTGGGTGCGTGTGTGTGGTACAGTGTGTAGGTGTGTTGTACAGTGTGTAGGTGTGTGTGGTGTAGGTGTGTGTGTTGTACAGTGCGTAGATGCAGCGGACAGACAGGTCTCAGTTGGTTTGGTGTCCTCTGCTTAATTTCAATACTTGTAAATACAACTTTTGGCCCGTAATTTATTTTCCTCATTGTAGCGACCAGAGGGGGGGAGGGGGGGGGGGGGGGGGGGGAGAGAGGGGGGGGGGATATATCCAGTCTCTGATAGTGTTACATTATTATGAGAGTTCTCTGTTTGATTCTGAAATTGTATATATTGAAATATATACATATATATACAGTTGCAAGAAAAAGTAAGTGAACCCTTTGGAATGACCTGGATTTCTGCTTAAGTTGGTCATAAAATGTGTTCTGATCTTCATCTAAGTCACAACAATAGACAAACACAAACAATGATATGTTTTCATGTTTTTATTGAACACACCATGTAAACATTCACAGTGCAGGGTGGAACAAGGGAACCCCTAGACTAAAGACTTCTTCAAGAGCTAATTGGAGTCAGGAGTCAGCCAACCTGGAGTCCAATCAATGAGACGAGATTGGAGGTGTTGGTTAAAGCTGCCCTGCCCTATAAAAAATACACAGCAGTTTTGAATGAGCTATTCTTAAGAAGCATTGCCAGATGTGAACCATGCCTCGCACAAAAGAGCTCTCAGAAGACCTACCATTCAGAATGGTTGACTTGCATACAGCTGGAAAGGGTTACAAAAGTATCTCTAAAGCCTTGATGTTCATCAGTCGGTAAGACAAATTGTCTATGAATGGAGAAAGGTCAGCACTGTTGCTACTCTCCCTAGGAGTGGCCGTCCTGTAAAGATGACTGCAAGAGCACAGCGCAGGATGCTCAATGAGGTGAAGAAGAATCCTAGAGTCAGCTAGAGACTTAAAGAAATCTCTGGCACATACTAACATCTCTGTTGACAAATCTACGATACGTAAAACACTGAACAAGAATGGAGTTCATGGGAGGACACCACGGAGGACACCACGGAGGACACCACGGAGGAAGCCACTGCTGTCCAGAAAAACATTGCTGCACGTTTGAAGTTAGCAAAGAGCACCTGGATGTTCCACAGCACTGCTGGCAACACATTCTGTGGACAGATGAAACCAACGCTGAGTTGCTTGGACAACACATCCTCACTCCCAGGTCGGCCTATGTTGACGTTATGTCAAGTCCCCTGTCGGCTTTTTCCAACGCAAGGGGGGGGGGCTTAGCGTCCATTTTCAACGCA